TCTAAGAGGGCTTCTTCCCCTTTAGCCACCAGCAGAGAACTGCCTCCCTTAGTTTCAGCCTGGGGTTTATATGGGTCCAAGGCCCTGCCCCTTCCTGCTAGCTGACCAGGTACAGGTGCTGACTAATTTCCACCTTATCCGGTTGCCATGGCCACCTGCACCTGGGCTCCTGCCTGGCTCTTTGGGCTCTCCCCAGGCAGTTCCTGCTCTTCTAGGAGCAGGGCACCTTAGTGCCCTGCGACACAGTGCACCCCAATTTCAAAGCCCACTTGGGCAACACATCCAGTTAGAAGGAGATCCCATCTAGGTGGCCCAGTAGTTGTGCTTCTGCAGATCCCAAGGGCTCCATAGCACAAGAGGTTTTATTCCATCAAATCTCTGGGAATGCATGAAACCTTAAGGTACTTGTGCATTTCAATTAATGAGGGTTCAGATACCTTAGGTTTGACCCTGCAATCCATGAATATGGTTTAAAAAGATGCTGTTTGCTCTGTTATGTGATGTATCATTTAATTTCTACTTTTTTCACTTTAGGACTAAAGCTTAGGTTCGGCTTCTAATATTTTTCTTGCTATACCTTCTCTCCCATGCAGTGATAATATATTCATTAGCGCTTGCCCTGCTGTCCTTCGGAGAAAAATGATGGGGCAGGAAGGAAAGATATGTAGGTGCAGTAATCATCAGATGCCATATGTGTCAGACCTGGAGTATGATCACCTTATTAACAACCAGATGTCTTCCCAGGAACAAATCTTAGTGGTCTGTGTATCTTCTTCATTGCAAACAAACGAGGATCCTAGGGAAGACGAATTAGAGCAGCTATATGAGAAAAAGAACAGGAACAGAAGTATGCCTTGTGTTCAGGTGGGTTTCATTTGGGCTAGAACATATATATAGGGTACATCCAGACATGTGTGCATGTGCCATTCGCAGCACCACAGTCCTGTCTGTGGCACTGCAAATTGCACACGCCACACATGCAGGCATTTGCTGCACTGCTAATTTGCAGCACAGTGCGGGTTTTTTGACACTGGGAGAGCCTGGTGTCAAAAAAAACAGCATCAGAAAAATGTGGCATGGCACATGTGCCAGCAGCATGCACTGCCTAAAATCAGAGCCTGGCTGGCCAGAGCCAGGCCAGGCTCTGCGCACCTGGATCACCACTGCTGGAGCCCCGGGAGGCTCCCAGGACTCCAGGTAAGGCTGATGGGGCCAGCCCAGGTGCTGGCCCCAGCCAACCCTACCCCACCCAGGGCAATTTGCTGTACATCAGAGCGCATGTGCAGGGGCACTTCCTGAGGACAACTACCATATCTGTGCCACTGCTAGTTTTCCTCAGGGAATGCACTTTCCCACTCATCTGGACATGCCCATATTGTAGCACACAGTTGAAGGTTTTAAAAGATAGCAATTGGACCTTTTTGTTTGTTTGTTTAATGTGTCAACAAAATCTTCAGCTTTTTGTTAAAGTGACCCTGGAATTTTATAGGATCCCCAGTCCTAGGACAGCCCACATGGTGGGAGTGTCCTGGAACTGCAGACCCTAAAAGCCTGGAGTCCCCAGCAGACTACTAAATGAGCTGGCAGGACACCTGTGTTTTGGCAGAAGTTTTTTCAGCAATCAACATTGTCTCATGAAAAACTGTTTTGTTGAAAAATCCTAGCTAGCTCATGCATATATATATTTACTTTTTTTCTGTCATAAAACTCTGAGTAGTGGAATCAATACAAGACTTTCTTTTCATGTATTTGGGGTCAAGCTTAAAGGCATACTGTAAAATAGGTTTTGCAAAGTGGGTCTGACCAGTCTATACCAGTGAAACCTGTAAGCAAAGGCACCAGAAAATGTGAGGCACAGGGTTTTCTGGTTCTGTTTAAAAAAAAAAAAAACAGGAGGAAGGAGGCTAAAAAAAGTTGGAGGGGGTAAACTGAAGAGTGGCTTCTTTAACTAACACTCTCCTACTCTTGCTTTTACTGATTAATTGGTTGATTTGATTTTTCAGTCCCTGGGACCTTGTCTGAACATTCCCCAATAACGCTAGCAATAATGGGAACACTTGTATAGACCTGACTCAGGTGTTGTAACAATCTATCATCTAGACTCAGACCATAGGGTTACTTGCAGTCTTACAGAAAATCAGAAATTGGCCCCATAGTTTGTATCTACCCTAATTTATAATTGGAAATGTTAATATACAAGGGGTGAAATCCTGGCATTGTTGAGATCAATGGGAAAACTCCATTTGGTTCTGTCTGGGGTCATAATTTTAATTCAAGAAGTCTAAAGCAGAGGTTAGATCAAACACAGGTTAACAGCTATACTTTGCCAAGAGAAGTGGAACTGACACAGCTCTTAAGTATTTAGTCACAGCTTCATGGCAATAGAAGTGGTGTCAAAGGAGGTGATCATGAGTGTGCGTGTGTTGACTTGTGCATATTGCTCTTCTCTGCCCTGGGATCTTGTGCTCAAAATCCCACTAGGATCATAAATGGAGAACAGTTTGCATTTCCATCCTAAACCTACATTGATGTTTGCCCACCTCACAACCCAGGCTTCTAGTCAGAGAAGGACATGAGGAAACTTGCACAGTGCCTGGCTGCCATTGGTTCTTTCATAAATGCTGGATTAAAGGTTAAAGTTACAGGCTTAGTGCAACAAAGAAACCCACAAGGAGAAATCCAATACCTAGGAACCCCATTGCCAAAGTTTTTGTGCTCAGACAACTGCCTTTCCCAGTTGCAAAGAAGATCATTCAATTCAGTTCACCCTTGCTTATTCAGAGGGAATATTAGGCCCCCTCAATTGGTATAAGATTTATAGCTGACTTATTGCTTAACTGCACTTCCTATGTTGCTTCAGGGTCGTCTGGACTCCTTCCGCCTCCTTAAATATGACATCAGCACTGCAGATGAATTTACAGGTCATAAAGGCTCTTTACTGGTACAAAGGCATAATGTTGCTCCTGGCATGTTTTTGGTATGTTACAGCTATTACTACTTTCTATAGGTACAGGCAAATACTTTGTGTTTAGTGATATTGCTACTGTATTATAACACAACTATGACCTCACAGTTGCCATCAGGCTGTAAATTGTGTCTGTTCAGTCTTTGAGTAGTAGCAGGAATAGAATTCTAATTTTTTTCTCTCCAGAAGATCAGGTCTATTGCCCCATGAGCCTCAACTCTCCTTTAGCTTCACCTCTTTCAATAGTGTTCCCTCCATTCTTTCCCCTTTCCCTAACCTTTATATTTAAATGACCTTATTCCTTTCTATTTAGTACCTCTGCTCTCTGCAAGACCATTCATAATGTGATGAAGTAGACCAGTGTTTTTCAACCTGGGGTCCACAGACTATGTCTAAGAGGTCCATGAAAGATGACTATGACCAATCAAAACTATATGAATACTCACACCAACAATTCAAAAGGGTCTGCACCTCCATTCAAAATTTCAAAGCGGTCTACTCTGTACCTCCATTCAAGATTTTTTAGGGGTCCACAAATTAAAAAAATGCTGAAAACCACTGAAGTAGTCCATAGCCTACAAAAGTTTATGCCCCCTGAATGAGTTAGTCTGTAAGGTGCCACACTGCCCTGTCTTCTCTAGCTGTTAGCAATGTAGGGTTTATGGAACCAATTGAGCCAATATAATCATGGCCAGCAGAGTGCTGTACATTAGGTCTGTGCGAAGCGGCTAGTAGTCGCTTTGGATTTGGCCAATTCAGAGGACAGTGATTTGATTCAGTGATACAAATCACTGACCCAAATTGACTCGGCCAAACCAGATTCGGAGATTTGGCTGCCACCGAGTCAGTCGAATCTCCAAATTCAACAGGCCCATTCCCCCACCCACTCTCCTAGCCCCACCAATGGCTGCCTCACTCGGCCCCAGTGTCCCAGCACTTAAAAAAAAAAAGCCTCAGTCACCGGCTCCTGCCAGGCAGGGGGGCAGTCCCCACTTCCCCCCATTGCCCCACACTGCTTGGGGGGAGGGGGCTTTGCCACAAGCCCCCAGAGGCCCTGATGGCCGCTGCAGCAGCTGGTGAGTATGGGGCTTTTTTTTTTTTTTTTTTTTAAAGAGATGGGGTGCC